TTGACGTTTCTTAGAATTATTACGTCATCAATTCGAATTTTTAAAATTTAGGAATTTCCGAATCCTTGAGCCTTCACGATTTGTCCAATCGTCCGAATAACGCTCTTATTCCTTCAAAACCGCCAATTCGTAAGGTTTGCTGCTAAAACTTGGAAACTGCTGAATCTGCACTTTTGTACATTCTGATCGAATGTCACAGAGAAAGGCAAGACAAATTTAGGAACATTTTCCTTAGATAGTTTTTTTATACGGCTTTCGTTTCTATATTTGGCGGTTAGTTTGTGCTGCCGGTAGCTTTATGGGTCTTATCGCATGACGCGTAACGAGATGCTTCTACTACTACTACTACTACTAAAAGAATTTATTCCCTTTAAAATATAAAGGCATCAAACAAAAGAAATGGTATGATTATGTACACAAGACATCACGAACGGCAATTTATGCAATGGCAACAAAGTAGCATTGAACAAGAGTTGTTTAAGTTGAACATATCAATTCTATTTTTTAGATAGATTTTCAATTTTGCTTTGAAAATTTCAGGCGATGAGAAAATGTCGGCTATGTTGTTTGCTGAAATCATGTTGGCATACCGACAGACGCGATAGAAGAAAAATTGCTCTGTAAAGAAGAGTCGACAATTCTGGGTTGTTGAAAGCTTAGGGCGTGAGCTATTGCGAAGGTCTTTGGCTGCAAAGGTAAAATTTATGTATCTGTAAAGGTTGAAATCAAATTGATCAGTCAGGACTCGATTAAGAAAACACATATCATGTAAAGCTATAGTGAAGGAAATTGGCAAGGAATTCGTTTTTCTAAGTTGTTCTGTATAGTCGTTGACTCCCGTTACCCATTTCAAACATTTTCTGTTAAATAATTCTAGTTTGCGGCGATATGTTAAAGATGGAAACCAGACCTGACTACCGTATAATAAAATACTCACAATACATAGCTGGTAATATTTGAATTTGGTTCTCATGGATACTCCATAAGGGATTGAACGTTTCAAGAAATGGAAAGCTTTGTTAACTGCAACCAGTTTGGTTTTAATGTGGATGTCCCACTTTAAATCACTAGATATCGTTACTCCGAGATCTTTGATAGATGAAACTGACGGAATTGGGTAATCATTAAGGCAAAGTGTAGATTTGGGGGAAGTTGAGTTAAAACAAATAACTTTGCATTTATCAGAATTAAATGTCATTTCGTTTTCAAGCGTCCAATTGATAAATAGATCAATGTCTATTTGAACTAAGGAAAAGTCATATTTTGAATAGAGTTTGCTGTCATCAGCAAACAGAAAACATTTAGAGGTTTTCAAGACAGCTGGCATGTCATTAATGAAGAGTATAAATAGTAAAGGGCCGAGTACACTTCCTTGCGGAACACCACTTGTTACATGGCCTTTTGGAGATGCTTCATTGTTAATTAAGACATTTTGCGTGCGGTTTGTGAGATAGGAAGCAAAAAGTTCAAGAAAGCTAACGTCAAAGCCTAAATTACCAAGTTTCAAAATAAGTATATGATGAGGAACTTGATCAAAAGCCTTGCGAAAATCGAAGTACACAGAAAGACATTCGCTTTTTGCCTCGACGTCGTTATAAATCTGATCTAGGTATTCAAGAAGCTGAGTAACAGTCGATCGCTTGGTCATAAAACCATGTTGAGCAGGTGTAACTTTAGCCCGAATTTTAGGATAAATGAAATCGAAGATCATTCTCTCCAGAACAATCGATAATTGAGGCAATATGCTAATCGGGCGATAATTTTCAACATTTTCGGGATTACTAGATTTAAGAACTGGCGTAATAAACGCACATTTCCAAAGTTCTGGCCACGTTTTAGTTTCCAAAACCTTGACAAAGAGCTGCACGACTAGAGGAGATAGTAATTCACTGCAGTAGTTAAGAATAAAGGTTGGGAGGCGGTCGTTGGTAATACAAGAAGTTTTAGCAAATTTGAGAGCTTTCTCGACCTTTTTAAGGTTGACATGGAGATCGGATAGAAAAATGGTGGGTTTTTCGGGTTGTAAGATTTGAATTTCATGCTTTTCTAGAAACACTGAACAGAAGTAATCGTTCAAAAGAATGGCTATTTCAATAGAAGTGGATGCTTTTCTATTCATCCAGTGCATTTGGTTTGGTATTTTCCTTCTGGTAAAAGATCGAAGGTATTTAAAGCAATCACGGGTAGAATTTGGTCTTAAAGATTCAAGGAGACAAGTTTTATCCAATTCGATTGAATTGTTAAGGTCTTGTTGGATCGAAGCTAAATGATTTGTGTTGGCTGTCCGTTTAGATATGGAATGATGCTTATTCAGTAAATGAACTGTATGCGACGAATAATAATAGGGAAGTTGCTGGCGTCTTTTAGTTTTCTGTGCGCATGATGAAAGAATTGCATGATTGATCTGAGCGTACCAGCTATCTACATAATCATTAGTGGTGGATATGGAATAACATGAGTTTTGTTCCACAATGAGTTTGGTAAAGCAAGGGCTGATGTTAGTATTGAAGATCGAATGAGAAAAAGATGATTTAGATAGAGAGGTTTTCATAAAATTCCCACTCACAGTAGGCGCTGCTTCAGGAATGGTAAAAAAAGCAAATAAAGGAAAATGGTCTGAGTAAAGCACTTCATTTACAAATGCAGTGATCAGTTCTGTGTGCGAAGTTAAAATGATATCAAGAGTGTTGCCTGAGCGATGTGTGGGTTCATATATAAGGGGCATTAAGCTATGATCCTCAATAACCTCTAGGAACAGTTTCGAGTAATCACAGCCACCATCAGAAGATGCCCAACAGATATCAGGCAGATTTAGGTCACCTAAGATTGTGTACGAACTAGAACCATTAATCAATTTGGAGTTAAAATAACGTATTGAATCAGTAAGCATTTTGGCAGGTATCCGAAACTGCGACGAAGCGGGGGGGTTGTAAATAAGGAGGAAAATATGATTAACTGCACCCGAATATATTGAAAGTCCGATGCAGTAATCTGCATCGTATGATAGAGTTGAATAATTTAGAGCAAAACTCCTTTTTGTAGCAATGAGAACACCTCCGTGTTCTCCAGAAGTGCGGTCTTTTCGAGCAATAACCGAATAGGGAGAATTCATAGGAAAAATTTCGGGATCAGTAACTTCTGGTTTAAGCCATGTTTCAGTAATGAACACGATATCAGGAGAATGTAAAGAAAGAAAATTGATTAACTTCAGACGCTGATTTATGCTCAAGAGACTTTGTGCGTTGATAAGGCATAACTTTGATTGTAGTCAGTCAAGATTGATCTTGATACCATTTCGTTCGAGGGTCAGACCACGAATTTTTAGCTCATCGCGTGGAACTTTTTCATTGTTAATCATGTCGTACCGTTTCTTGAAGATTTTACGTTTCAGAATCTGTTCTTCTTGGTTCAGGGACTTCGATATGAAAATCTTTTCTTTGAAATTCTTCAGTTTGTAAGATTTTGCCAGGCATTTTCTAGCATTCCATTCGGATGACAGACGAACAAGTAAAGGACGCGGTCTTCGTTGTTGGGGATTATTTTTACCAAGTCTATACATTTGGCAGATACTGAGATTTTCTTCGCCTATATGATCAAAAATTTCGGCCACTTTGGCTTCTTCGGCCTCTATATTGGATGTAAACTGTCCGTTGTCTTCGCAGACCCCGTCGATGATTATCTCGTTTTCACATGTGTTGGCCCGGTGACTGTTATTAATACGACTATTAACCGGTACATTCGATGATGTTGTCTTGGTTGGATCAACATTTTCAACAGTTTCTTTAATGCTTTTTGTAATTTCGATTAAGCTTTCTTGTCTTTGAATAATCAGTTCAAACTTAGCTTGGGATGTGAAGATGTTCCCCTCAAGGCAGCCAGAGCACAGCCAGAAGCATCCTCGAATTTTGCCCATTGTAGCTACATCATCAGGAGACAATCCAACACATTGCCCATGGAACCACGCGCTGCACTTTTCACATCCTATAGCAGTTGAGTCGTTGTCCTTCACTGTTTTGTTGCATGGTCCACATCTAGTAGCTTTTGCTTGAGACATATCAAACCGGAAACTATTTAATAAGTTTATCACAACAATTAGGCTAATATGTGATAAATTTCCGAAAGTGCAGTTATTTCAGTTCCAAGGTTTCGGATATTTTTGCAAGTTTATATTTGAGAAAAATTATTTGATAACCATGGGTTTCACCCACTCATAGCTGGGAGCTGAAAAAGTTGAGGGGTTGCTCAAAGATAAATGAATTTAGTTTGTGCACAAATTTTCTAAACCAAGAATCTATTAAAAGACACAATTTACTTTTTAAAAAAAACGTTTTTTTTTTGCTTAATACGTTTTAAAGCATTTTTTTCTAAAAAAAATAATGGCTTGTCAACTCTGACCAAAATGAGCTACCTCAAAATGTGTTCGCATAAATTTTTGTGAAATTCGTCGAGCAGTTTCTAGTTTTCTGCGATAATTAATCGAGAAAACGATTATACAGAAGGACATTGGAGTTCGGATATCTGCTGATTTGAATTAAAATATTCACATGTAAAGGGCAGCTAGTAAAGCACTTAGCGTCGTCTTTATTTTGAAAAAAGCTCACCCAGATTAGAGCCAACTACGAAATATTTGGTAAGCCATAGTAACTTTGAATATTTGTTGCGCTTGAAAATTTCCAAAAGAATTGTGTCAAATGAATAAACAGCATGGATTGGTGCGGACTTAAAAGAATCCTCTTCCACGTTTAAGGTCACTTTGAACCAGATTATAATGAACTAAACTGCTGGACCCATAGAATCTAAACAACTACTCTCTTAAGCTAGCAATCTCTGGCATACTGAGAGCCGAATCCATTTCAAGTACATTATAAGTACAGTCCCATAAACGTCCTATCAATTTTTTTGCATTACATAAGTCTCATCAAACAGTACTTAATTCCCTGGTTCGTGTATAACGAAACCTTGGTATTATACATTTTGGTGAAAAATGTGTGTTTCAGACTTGTATGATATTGTGACGCTTTCGTGTTGTCAGCTAACCTTACAAATGCCTGGGCCATACACCCAGGTTAGTTAAATAAATTTTGAGGTCAATATGTTTGTCTGAGCTTCGGATTTACTGAAGCAACGGAATCATAGAAAAATTCTTTCAGCATTTGAAATTCTCTGGAAATTCTTTCAGTTTTCGAGAAAAAAAATTACCGGAGCATTTCGCCTCTCAGAATACCTCATTTTAGCTATACTGACTCTCTTATGATAAACCAACAGCCCAATGTCAAAAAGTGATATTACTATTATTTTAAAAATATAGGTAAAATGATGTTTTTCTAGATGTAGGACTTTATAAACAACACGAATCAGTCATTCGAACACTCAGCACTGGCATCACCGTTATATTTTAATCTTTATTGCGCTTGTGAGATTGAGTGGTTTCTAAAGTGATTATTTTAGAAAGCAATTGACATCATAAATAAGGCAACGCACGAGGACACAGCAAAGAACTATCAAGAAGCGTTCAACCTATATCAGACTGGAGTTGAGTATTTCCTTCATGCCATCAAATGTAAGTCCGATTTTGATTTGGTAAGTCCCTATTTATCCAAGCTGTAGCTTAGAAAAAATGCGCAGTTTTAGTGAAGCTGTAAGAAATGTTTCTAGTCAGAGAAAAGGGTTGTTAAAATCATTTTTGTTCCGGTTTTTGAAGAATTTAACCAAATATGTATGCGTATGCTTGTTTGTTTTTATACGACCGATAAGTTTTTATACGTCGGTGGCTTCGTGTATCGCAGTTGGTGCAGAGCTCAGCTCCGCCTCTGTGTGTTTTCTGCATCTCAAGATATGAGATGATTCACTTCAGCTCTTGTTTTCTTTGACCTAGAGTTCCCTTCAATTCAGTTTTAATTTTTTAAATCGTGTTTTAATTTTCGTGTTTAATGTCAGTATACGTGTTCCGCTCACTTTTCATTTGGCGATTTCAAGCATTTATTTTATTAACTTCATTAGAATGCATTCAGTGCTGATTGGTTTCCGCCCGTAAAGTATGCGTGAAAGAAATGGTTATAGGGCGCAAGTGATCGCAGAATCTTCGACTTGTAGAAGCTCAATCCACCGCTGTCGATCGACATGTCTACTTTCAGTTTAACCTCGCTTTTTTTAGTGGCCTGATCCGTTATTTCAAAGGGCCGAATACGTTTTTATGATGGATATCTATTTTTTGGTTTGGATTTGTTTGACTATGAAAAAAGGCTCTTGCGCTGTTTTTTTACGCTTGCACCGGAATATTAACAAAATCAGATGAATCAGTCATCAAGGTTGTTCTGATAACAACAAAACAGAATGCCTGTCAACAGATTATTTTTGAGCATGTCTGCATTTTAAATGACCGTTCCATTCGATTTTTTTTGGCTGGTTGTAAATCATTTCTTGTTTTAAGTTTCCTTTTTTGGTTATTATTTTTAACCTTTTTTTCATTTTAAGTGTTTTTTGGCTTAAATGGTTATGGCTGAAGCATATCTGCTTAGTTGCCTCGTAATTCGTCGTTTGAAGCTACAAAATTTTCAAATGGCTCTTGTGCTTACGAAAGTGTAAGAGGGCGTAAAATGTAATTTTTTTTGCCCAAAGTGTTTCATAGCTCAATTTTGATTTCTTTCCGGCTCAGCATTCGTCTAACCAAGTTTTATCTGCTCTGTATCCGCTAATTGACTTCTGTTTTTAATGCTTTGTTAACATTGGCACTTGTGTTTTTCTCAGTATTTTTCTTTAAATTTCCCAGCATTCCAGACAAACGTTTAAAAAAATCAATTTTTTAACTTTCTTTTTTAATATTCAGCTTGCCTCCTTTTTTCCGGCTAGCTCCCGTGCCATTTATGTTGTATTGCAAGTGGTGCGAAGCTCCGCTTCGCCTCTTTGTTATATTTATTTTCTTCACTTTTTGCTGTGAACATGATCTGTATATTTGGCATCTTTTGGAATTGGTGAAGTTTTCTATTAATAATTAAGTCTTCTTGAGTCTAAATTTTTGGTGTGAGATATCAACTTTTTGATTGGAAGTAATCAGATTTCCACCTACAGTTTTATTTAATTTTGCTTGGCTGGCTAGTCTTTTGTGAAGATGTTATTTCCATGTATTCCTCTTGTTGCTTGATTACGATATTTTCAAACGAGTTGAAGTAAGGTATACTGTCAAAAATATCCAAACTTATGATGAGTCCATGTGGTTGACGTTTTTTCATTTGTTCCGTTTTTATCCATATCGTACTTGTTGTTGAAGTCTGGCACAAAATTTCGTGTTCTGGTCGAAAAATAATTTCTTGCTCTGGCCGAAAAATTACTGACCTATTTTGAAACAACCGTTCAGTAGGATTAGTTTTCTGTGTAGTTTTTGTTTGGAATTGAGTATGATTTTGTTTTTGTCTGAGGATTAGTTTTTTGTTTTGTTTTCGCCACACTTCGGTTTCGCGTGTGAGCTTTCTGAGGTACTTTTTCGCTTCCGTTTTCTTGGAAATTGGAAGACGTTTTTTATAGCATTTTTCTTCTTTCATTATTTTCTGTGTCGCAATTTTAACTTTGAAAGGCTAGTTTTGATATTTTTTGCGAATATTCAAGTTTTGTGTGCAATGTCAGTTTTTGAGTCCCTCTCAAATTTCAGTAGGCGATTTCATAGCATTACTTATATCCACTTTATGAAAGCGCATTCAAAGCTGCATGATTTTTATCTGCAATTTTTTGATTGAAAGTATTAGATGTAGGATGCAAGTGGCAAAAGCTTCGATTTGAAGGAGCTCGATTCACCGCTTAGCAAGCTTGTTTTCATTTTAAATCGATTTTTAAGTTTTTTTTTGCAATTTTTGTTGCTTCGCTTGTGTGTTCAAATTTCATGCTAACTGTTGGACTGAACCAAGCTCACAATAAAGTGAGAATTGCTGGGTTTGTTTCGCCTCTCCGTTTTTTGAAAAGATATTTCTTGTTAAAACATTTTGTGCAACTTAAGTGACAACCGGTAGTGTTTATTTAGTTCTATCAGTATGCTTTTACACTAGGGGTTAGCATAGTGTATTTTTCGAACCAGCTTTTTTCGAATCTAACTCGCAAGTAAAAGTGTTCTTTTATTTGGAAATTTCACTGTAGCATTGAAAATTGCAAAGCATATGTTCTCTGCTTTATTTGTGACTAATGTTTGTTACCTATTAGGAGTTCGTGGCTAATATTTAGTTTGCAAGTTCGAACTCGAGGCCTAGCCGAATTTTTACAAATTCGAAGCTTATTTCTAATTTTTCTCATTGCTGTTTATAGAGCTGCTTTTGTATCTTTTTATCACTAGTGTTTGCGAAGCAAAGCTTCGTCTTTGTGTTTATGCAGTGTTTTCCTATACCGTGTTTCTAACCTTCATATTTCCACAGTTTGTCTCAATTTTGTTGCATTTGGTTTACTATAGGCTTTGTTTATTTTGTATTTAAAACAAGACTGCTCCTATATCAGGACAAAGCCCTGAATGTTCCGACAGCTCTTTAATTGGTCTCGAATAGTGTGTGGCAAGAGAAAAATTGGAAAAATATAAATTTAGGACAATATCTTAGATCAAGTGTGAAAATATTAGTCGTACGAAATTAATACTACCAATTGAGAGCTAGCCTTAATTCAATTTGAAACGATTTTGTATTGCGGGATAAATCGCCGAAAATCGACTGCATAAGAAAACCCACCAAGTAAAAATATTCCGTTTTCATTGAAAGTCGGAACAATAAAGTCTCGACGTTGTGTGCAAGTATATGAGGCTAAAAGAGGTTTTAGAATCTTCAAGCCTGTTTTTGGTTTAGATGAGTGTCCCTCAAAAGATATAAAAGATAATCTGAGGAAGAAGTGCGACCAGTATCTGGAACGAGCGGAGAAAATAAAAGAGTATCTGAATGGAAAAGACACCAAAAAGAAGCCAGTCAAAGATGGAAGCTCACACAATAATAAAGACAAGAATGGTGGCAGTGACAGCGAAGACGAAGAGTCGAAGAAGTTTCAGGACAAAATATCGGGAACTATTCTGATTGAGAAGCCGAATGTCAAGTGGAGCGATGTCGCGGGACTGGAGACTGCGAAAGACGCCCTGAAGGAGGCTGTCATTTTCCCTGTCAAGTATCCACAGCTATTTGTCGGTTAGAATCAGTATATTGGCGTATAACAGAGAATTTGCGTTAATTACGTTCGACTATTGTAAAACATAAAAGAGTTTTCGTGTTAAAAATGTATACTCGTAGATATTTTTTTGTATAAATATGTACACAGTAATTGAAATTATAAAGAGTCTTATATAGGTCGCGATGCTTTTTCAGAAAATGTCCTTGAATTTTTTAAGGCTCAAATTTACTTTTCGCGGTTTGACTTTTGATTTCTTTTTAAGTTCAGTTCATTTCCTTTGTTTGAAAGGCAAAAAACACGAAATAACCAAGAAAATGGAAAATTTGCACGGGGGGGGGGGGTAGAAAAGACGGATTTTCGTATAACTTGCCATGTACAGCATGTAAAAAATTCTGGTCAGATCTGAAATTTAACAATAATCTTAATAAGTAGTGCTCCTTTTATTCAGCGGCACTTGATGATTACAGGAAAGAGAAAACCGTGGCGTGGTATTTTGCTGTTCGGGCCTCCGGGAACGGGGAAATCGTTTCTGGCAAAAGCAGTGGCAACTGAGGCCGACAACTCCACCTTCCTCTCAGTCAGATCTTCTGATCTGGTTTCCAAGTGGCTCGGAGAGTCTGAAAAGTATGAATAAACTATATTACGTAGGAGTTACCTACGTTACGTAAGAATTAATAGTCTAGTTTCTTAACGATAAACTACCTTACGTAAGACTTCATTACTAACTTAAGAATTAACCACGTTTCATAAGACATAGCTGAGTTACACAAGTTTTCAATGAAAAATCAGGATGATCATCACTATGAAAACATCTTGATTCTGTGTGGCGATAATTTTCCGCCGTCGGCAATTGGTGGCATTTCAAACAGCGAAAACTCGTACACAGCAACATGGTAATACAAATTGTCGGCGTTCCCTTGAAAAGATATTAACCATAAGTGTTCCGATACGTCTTCAAACTGAATATTCTGAAGGCATGTAAGTTATGAAATTAGCTATAAGTGAGATTGGCCTTCTAATAACCACTCCGGAATCTAGGTACAACGATGTAAATTTTTTAGGATCCTTTTTCACGAAACGGATGCGTATTTAGGCTTGTGAAGAACATGTTCGAGTTGGCTCGACAAAGGAAGCCGGCAATCATCTTCATAGACGAAGTGGACTCCCTGTGCAGCTCCCGAAGTGACAACGAATCGGAGTCGGCTAGACGAATCAAGACCGAGTTCCTCACCCAAATGGACGGAGTGGGAGCCGACACAGACCAGATTCTGGTGCTAGGAGCCACCAATCTGCCCTGGGCTCTGGATTCGGCCATCCAGCGCCGGTTTGAGAAGCGAATCTACATCCCGCTTCCAGAGGCTCCCGCCAGGACAGCCATGTTTAAATTACATCTGGGAGATACACCGTGTGATGCGACAGAGAAAGACTTCAAGAAATTGGGCGATAATTCTGCAGGGTAATTTATGCTTATTATTGTAGTAGTTGTTGCCTTGTTTCCTTTCTCCGACCTCAACTTTTGTTAATTTAAGAGCCTTCGTCTAAAAAGGTTATGGTTGTTTCTGTTAATTTGGGCTCTTTCGTATTCCTTGGCCCCTGAATGATAGGACTGGAATATTAGTTTAATATTAGGATCAGTTAATATTATTTAATAATCACGATCCATGAATAAGTTTTTGCTCTGTTTTTTTTTTAAAGAAAAAGTGAAAACTTATTGTCGCTCTACAGTTTTTCGCTCATTTTAAATCGATTTTAATATATATATAATGTTAAAAAATAATGTTATAAAAATATCAATTAATCTGCTAGTTGATGCATGGATTATTTCTAGTTACTCGGGCGCAGACATTGGAATTGTAGTGCGAGAAGCCCTAATGCAGCCGGTGCGGAAGGTGCACCAGGCTACCCACTTCAAAAAAGTATCGGGACCTTCGCGATTGGACCCAGACGTCTACTTGCACGATTTGCTCACGCCCTGCTCACCGGGGGATCCAAATGCTCTCGAGATGAAGTGGACAGAAGTACCTGGAGACAAGCTGAAGGAGCCAATCGTGACCATGGAGGACTTGGAGAGATCGCTGAAGACTATTAGACCCTCGGTCAGTGCGGATGGCATCCAGGAACATCTTAAATTCCTTTCGGAGAAAGGGGTTGAAGGCTAAAATCAACAGAGGCTGAACATGTTGATCAACGAAATAACTGTCGAGGACATTGATTACTGGATAAATACCATGTAAATTGATTGACCCTGAAATGATAAGCTGGCCCTTGTTTGAACTGTGTAAATGAAGGATTTAGTTTGTCACCACTAAGCATTCTATATTTCATACTTCATTTAAGCTCAATGTACAATTATAATAAGTTATTAGTGTAGAGATGAATTTGAGAGTTAAAAAACCTTAACATTTTTTCGACTTCTTAATTTAAATTGCATAAATACAGTTTTATTATCTTTCCGATTAGCAAAAGTATTCCAACCGGGTACTAGATTTTTTCACGTTAAACTAGATTTGATCAGCTCCCCTAATTAACTTATCAAGTTCCTGCTTCTATTTTGGCCCTTTGGTTGAGAGGCAACGCTTATGCAAATGTCTGGGACAAGTTCGGTCAGGAGTCTTAGTTTTTCGAACTTTACTTTTCTGCTTAGAAATTTTCGGGTTATCGTTTGTCTGCAATGTATCCTCAGCTTGAACTTTTCTTCTGATGGGAGCCAATTTTTTTTATAATTAGGTAATTTTGGTTCATGCCTGATGCCGTAAGTGTGATTGACTTCCATGAAATGTTGCTCACTTTTTATTGCGATTTTCTAGCGTACAAGATCAAAGATTCCTTTATTAAGATTCGATGAATGTAGTGAAGACTCATCGAGGTCATTATGAATTTTTTTTTCGTAAAAATTCTTAAAGATTGTTTACCTTTTAGTTGGACTTTCAGCGGTTTGGCTTCTGATTTATGTTTAGTTTACTTCGTTTCCTTAGTTAAAAAGAAGGCAAGTCGCGTTATCGAACAGCAAAAGTGTCGAAGTCACGAAAAACGTGATCCTTTTGTACTTCAGAAAATTGATTTAAATTATAGATTTCCCAGTGGAGTAAAAACTTCACAAATTGTTTTCTCAAATTGAGTGCGTTTAATCAGTAATTCAATTAATAATTGTCTTGAAATTCAAGTAGCTTAAAGCTTTGTTAAAAAAAATAAGAAAATACAAATAAGTTAGATTTGAAACTGTTTTTTCTAGATATTTTTAATTAAATTTGCCATTAGAAAGCGTTATCAAGTCGGAATATAGTTTTTTTTTCGGGTGAACAACTCGCTTAACAGAAACCTTTGGTATCTTGATTTATAATGAGTTCAAATTTTTAAGCGTCTCCGGCTCACTTAGTCTGTAGGTTCGAGTATGCCCGGGACGGCAAAGGCCCTGGATTGGAATCTGAGCAGGACAGTATTTTTCAAACGGGAAAAACTTCGTTTCAAAAAAAATTGTGAGTTTATTATTTGGCTGCTTATGTTTTGGCGGCTTAGTTGCGACATCTTAATTTTTTTGCTGCATACAGTTTTTATTGTTGTTGCTTTGTATGTTGTCATTTATTCCTGCTATTTGTAATTCTACCTACTTTGATTTCATATATGTTTCTTGATTTTGTCTTAAAATAATTTCGGCCTAAATGATTTTGGCTTATTTTTTTATCGGTTTTCTAACCTATTTTTGGGTCGTTCGAGTGAACCATAATTTGCCTGCTTTCCTCCGGGTTGCACAAAACGTTAAACATCTCAGAGTAAAAATTTTAGTTCAAAGTTTTTCGTGACAACAATTATAATTTCGCTTGATAATTGTTTTTGAATTTTCATTAAACATCTTTTACGTTTTCTGTGGACTTAGTGGCTTTCCTATCCTTCCTGTCTGATAGCTTTCAAAGCTATTGTTGTGGCATCGCAGGTGATGCGAAGCTCCGCTTTGCCTCTCTGTGTAAGTTTACTAATCATTCATTAAAAAATAATAACATCTGCGCGAGCTCTTGCAATCGGCAAGTGCCTTCTAATCGGCAACCAGACTTTTTTCCCGTAAACAATTTTTCTTACACATTTGTAAGAAAAAAAATGTTTTTATTTTTATTTGAAACTTAGCAGTTTTCAGACCGCTTCCCACTTGGTTTAGAGGATGCAGTTGTCTTTTCAACCTATGGCCTGGGGTTCGAGTCCCGGTCTGACCTTGTTTTTTTTTTCAGTGTATGGAATTGATTTTTTCCGGAAAAGATAAAGATGAATAGTCTGACTAATGTTTGGAGACTTCCTTGCCACACCACAATTTTTTGCACTTAAAGCTGTTTTTTTTTAGCTTCAAGTGCCATTGTTAGTCTTTAACTTTGTTGACCCTGTCTGGTATACATTTTGTTTTTCTACTTTTTTACGCTTAGAAATTTTATTCGTCCTAAAGGGTTTCAGCTTATGTTCTGTCGGTTTAGTGAAACTGTTTTGCATGTGTTTAAGGGCAAAAGTTAAATATTTTTAATTTGAATAAATGAGGTCGGTTGAAGTATAAAACGAGAAAGTTCAGCCAAATTAGAAAATTCAGACAATTTTGTCGATCTAAGTGTTTTATGACAATTTCCTTTCCAAGTATCTTTCCTATGACTTTTTTTTTCAAATAAAATTTGAATAGTCAGATTTTCGTACGTCTTTTCATTTGTGTCGGCTTAGTTGCAACATCACAAAATTTGTTTGTGCAGTAAGCCGTTTTCATTGAAATATAAGTACAAGTGTTGTTCCTAGTAGCTTCAGGGGGAACTTAAAAACTTTAAAATCATTTTTTTTTATAAAATTGTTTTTCCCGGCTCAACTATTTTCCCGTAAAGAGCTTTTCGTACAAGTTCTGCTGACTTGTTCGATTCTGTTGACATGATCAGTTCTGCTGACGTGCTCAAACGCAGACATACTGATTATCTTAAAAATTCTAATAAACCTACATCCTAAATCATTTGAAGTACTATTAGTTTTCTTTCAAATTGATGTATTGAACAAAGTTTGATTTTTTCCGATTTGCTGTTTTCATCCTAGTTTCTGTCAAAAAACTTGATATGGATTGGATAACTTGCCGTATTGGTTGCTCACTTAACGTAAATTTAATGTCTTCGTGTTTGTCTCTCTGTGTGTCTAGCTTGAACCTCGCTACCTGATCGTAAAATTTTAGCTCTATTGATTATTAATTTTTTTGGATAAATCAAAATTGTCTCTGACTTCGTTTGACATTTTGGCTTTGATTAAGTTTGGGCTGTTTATTTTTCCAGCTTATATTTTTGAACGCGGCTTTTTGGAGTTGTTGGCCTTTGAGATGAAGCAAAACAATATCTCTCGATCAAAATCTATTTTCTGAATTTGCATAGGTCTTTCTTTTTCTTTTACTTTCGATTGCTTTCTGGCGAAGTGAAGATGCCTTTTTAACACTAAAATTCTATAAACATTGGTGTTTGGCCTGAAATTTTACGCCTGCAGAATTGCGCAAACTTTTTTCGATCTTCTGAAAATTTTTCTCTTTTGCTTGTTCATTGTTGGTTTCAGCAGCCACAAAAAACTAGGTAGCTTAGATTTATTTTTAAGGTACTTTGTTTCATGTATTATGTCCTTAATTTTGACTCAAATTTGCTTTTAAAGGATTATTGTATTTAATTTTTATTAAATATTCCGGCTTTCGAAGAAACTGACGGAATTTTTGTGCTCGGGTAGTTTTTTTCTACAGAAAAAATTTTGGTGATATATTATAATAGGTGGCAGGTTCAAGTTAAATAATTGGAACGTTTTTTAGTATATTTCGAACAGTTTTTCAAGGGCCAATTTGGCGAAAGAAGTGTATAATTTGAGCTTTGACTCATTTTTTGGCGAAAGAAGTGTATAATTTGAGCTTTGACTCATTTTTTATCTGGCAAAGTAATGTATTTAAACAAACTATCTTTACGGCATGTAAAAGTGGTTGAAAATGAAAATAAAGTTAAAAGTTCAATGACTGTATTATGCATGATAATTCGTGAGTTTTTTACATGCAATACACTCAAAACTACCACCTATTGTAACATATCTCCCAATTTTCGACTTTTTGACCAGCAATAATTGACATAATTTGTTTCATATCATTTGAAACAGAATCACTTGAATCCTTTCAAATTTGGTTCATAGAAAATCAAAAGCCAGGCGTTAAGTCGCGCATTTGGGGAAGAGCTAACGCACCTGCCTATGAAGGCAGCGGTCAATGATTCCAATGCGGCCAGAACCTGTTTTTTTTGTGAGCGAAAATTTGTCCGTGCGTCAAAAAACCATTGTCTGACTTCTGCTTGTCTGCTTTTTTTCTAGCCTTAGTTGCTGTAGCAGCAAAATTGCCAAAAAAATTGGGCATTTTTTACTCGAATTGAAGTTTTTTTTGTTGTATTCCGGTTTTGGCCAAGTAATTGAGTTTCAAGAATTTTTGTCTATTTCTTTTTCAACTAATTTTTGGTTTTTTTTTCATGCCGTTCATTAAAAATGTTTGATTTTTTTTAATTGAAGGAATGTTCTGTGGTATCAGTGTAGTGGCAAAGAAGAATAGATATCGCTACTGACCGACATCAACATCGATCATAAACCCTAACTGGAACAATTCCGACGCCAATTTCGATCTCTTACCCAATTCAAGTGGCTGAAACTCAACGCAACAACAAGTACGCCGCCTACGCAATTTTCTTTTACTATCACTTGTTGTTTCGACTTTCGTAACGAAAGTAACGGAATATTTGTGATCGGGGTGGGTTTTTTTCTTCAGAAAAGTGTCTGATTTGTAACCAGCCATTTGTAACAGAATTTTTGAAAATCATTCAAAAGGTATTGTTGTTTTGAGCTTAAATTTGAAAAAAAAAACATTTCACCTGCGATAATTTTTGTAAAATTATGGTGGTTTAAAGATTGCGAGTTTGGTCAATTTGGGACAGTTAACGCGCGATATATTTCGCGCTTTTAACGCGTAAGCGGAGATTAAATCCGTATTAGAAATCGTTCTAAATTAGTTGAAAGAAGCTTATTTGCCATAATTGATTTGTTACAAGGAGCAAAATCTATTGTTTTGTACTTTATATGGCGTCTGGGGGATGATTGTCATACAAAACTTTTCAAATTTGAGAAAAAAAAAGTTTTTCATTTTATTTTATTTCATTTAATTTTTTTATGTTGTTTATATTAATACTGCTCTATAAACGTTAAAAGGCAGTCGGAACTTTCAAGGCTTCGCCCTGATACGAGCAGTCTTGTTCTTAGTTTGTACAAGATTATGTGGGATTGAGTCAGCATCTGATACATTGAATAGGAATGATCTAAGACAACGATAAAAATAATTATATTTTGGACTGAGACAAGATCAATTTTTCTTCATTTGGAAGAAGAAAAGCAAACAAAATAAACATTTCACTAACTGTAATGCAAGGTT